GACCTGATTTGGCTGCAGGTACCGCCTCATGCTACCAGTAGTGGCAAGGACACTAGCAGAACAAAAACTAGAGAGGAATCAGTCAGGCAGGATTAGTAGAGAGCAACTGTCTGTGGCCACCACATGCAAAAAACATTCCATTAATATGGGTTGTCTTGCTTTTGCCTATCCATTGCACCTGTTCACTTGTATTTGCACCAAAGCAGGGGAAATTGACTCACAATCTACTGTGCGTCCTAAATGGACAGATTGATATCCCTGAAGTTTCACAGATTTGGTGTTATACTGTGATGATTAAGCGTTCCCTTTTTTTCTTTTTTTGCAGTTTATGTATTGAAAAATATAGAAAAATGTCTGGGCTTACCACTGATCAAAGGTCCAGACAGACTAATAGATGATTTCTGTCACCTCCACAAAAACTGTTTCGTGCCTTTTTAGTTGCCTTTCTCCTTCCCCAACACCTCTAGCTGAAATGCTAGTGGCAGAATGGCTGAAGTGTTTTTGTGATGCTGGCCTTTGTCATAATGTCACACCCTGCCCTTTTCTTTCACACACTTTTTGTCTAAGCAAATCAACATGTCCAGGCTATGTGTGTGCTTGTGTAATTCTGAATAGTTGTGTGGACTTTGGTCTTTGCAATTAAATCTTTTTCCAAGGCACATGTGTGCACCCGATCAGAAATACAAGGCATAAATCACAGCAATCAATGATTTGTGGAAAGCATTGAAAATACCCCATAGTTACTTTTGAATCTTGTCAAATCATAGTTTTCTAAGGTAACATAAATGGCACCATCACTGTGGAGCCCCCGTGCTGCTTCCCTGCCAGCTCCTAGAGTTTGTTGAGTGGGTACTCGGGGAGAGAGGCAAACAGTTTGTTTGATGGGTAAAGAGCCCATAGCCTGGTGCAGTCAGGAGGATCTTACCTGCCTTGTCTGGGCTAAATTTAAGCTCCAACATCCAGTACATCACATGTAGTCTTGTAACTAAATATTAATTAGGCCTTGCAGGATCAAAAGTGTGTTAAATAGCATAGCATGTGTTTTTTGTTTAGACATTTGGTTACATTCATTTACGTTACAGTAAAAGATTATACAGCTGTTTGACGCTGTATGGAGGTGACATGTTTTATGATATTTTGTTTTTACATTTTCGGAGTTACCTTTGCAACTGGTTGCTCCCCTGTCACTGCAGACACTTCATATTTCTCCTCTTTTTTTCCCATCTAGTTTGTTTAATGTAATATGCTTGGTTTACCATGGAAACGGTCAAGTATAACATCTATGTAGACGTTATTGTGCAACCAAAAAACGACAGCAGGAATGAAGACCAATCACCAGGGTTCTATAAAAATGTTAAAATGTCACACTCCAGCAGAAATTCTTCTTAAGGCAATTTTGTATTAATCTGAAAAATTGCTGTAGCTGGAATTTTTAAAAAAAAGTTGATAACACTCTTCTCAGCACAATGTTGTTTTTCCTGTTAAGAAAATGACAATTAATGGTTTCAAATAATTTTGTGTTGTCTGAAATTTCAATTACGCTATGAATGAACTTTTCTGCAGACCCAACAAATGTCATTTTCTTGTTTAGTGAAAGACTTTATGGAAGTTTTCTCTGCCCTCCATCCTCCAGTTAAAGTCTTGATCTGTTTTTATTTCTTTTTTTTTTTTCCACACTCTGTGCCTTCACTTTCTTTAATGCCTCAGAATGAGATGAAAGCCCAGTGCAATTAGGCTTCTTATCGTTTTAATTAAGAAAGCCATTCGGCCATATCTGCCTCCGACGCCATAACACATAATGGCAGAGAGTCTCTGATGCCTGAAGTAGTGTTTGTGTGCGTGTGTGTGTGTGTATGTGTGTATGTATGTACTGTGTGTGTACTTACAGTATGTATGTGTGTATGTCTACAAGCTTGTGAGTGTGTGTGTGCGTCCTAGTAACACAGTTCCCAACAATCTCTCTGCCACCCTTCCTTCCTTTTTTTATCAGTCTGTGTTCTCCAATCACTATTCCCACTTGTGCCTCTCTGCAAACATGCTGTTCTATCACTCGTTATTTCCTTCTCCTCAAAGAGACAAGGTCAGAGAGTCCTGTATAAGTACTTCAAATTCAATTCAAGTATGTTGTCTGTTGAGTGTTTCTTTTCAACCCCTCTGTCAAACATTGCCTCAGCCATGCCGTTTCCTTCCTTCTACTTTTAAACATTTGTAACAAAATGGACAAATTTTATTGTATTTTTATCTGTTTCAGTAGCCGTGCATGTACACACAGGACAGAGTAACAACTTATCAGTGTGCATGTAAACTGCTCTTTTCCCTATATCTATTTGCATAAGACGAGAGAGCTGCATGGCTGTAACCAAATTATTCCTACACTTTATTTTATTTTCCCCCCCTCACCCAAAAGAGAAGGAGAATAGGGGGAAACTGTAACTACGCTGTTAGTGGTGTTAACAACCAACCAAGCTCCTCTACTCCCCCCTCTGCTCCCTCCTCTCCCTCCATCCTCCCTCCCCTCCCCTGTTACCCTGGCCTATCAGTGCAGAGCAGTGGTCTGTGAAGAAATTCCCAATATCTAAATTTACACACTGTATCAATCTTGTTTAATAGACTGGAAAGCTTATAGCCGCCGTGGCAAGCCGGCAGAGAGGGCAGCGGTGATAAATTGTCGGTGTGCAGGCGACAGCCGCCCGTGATGTATAATGAAATATTTATGATTTATCCCAGCTAATAAACTGAAATGAAGTGCGTGATGTATGGGAACAGATGGGCCCTCTATTGATGCTGAAGCGGAGAGGCAAGAGGGGGAAGAAGAGACGGGAAGATAGGTGGAGAGAAGGAAACAGGAGATGTGATGCTCTAGAGGTAGTGAGAAAAAAATAGAAGGATGGGACTTAAAGAGTAAGAAAAACATAGTTGTGTCTGTTGGGCTGAGAAGCTGAAAACGTGGGCAGAAATGAATGATGGATACAGGGTTAGAGTAGAGAACAAATAAGATTAAATGATTGAGTAGTGGACAGACGGAAGATGGCGGTAAAAACAGACCACCATCAAAATAAAATCCTTCTCCTAAAATGCTTCATCATGTTGATTCCAGGTAAAACGGTGCCAGTTGTTTTCTTTTATTGATTCCATATTTCAAGTGTAGACTTTTTTTCCTGCTGTGCTAGCAAACTGAGGTCCAAAATTTCCCGGTGCAATCTTCCCCCACCCCTCCGAAGAAATAAAGTTATAGTTCCACAGTTTGGAAAATACATGCATAAGCTTTATTGCCAAGAGTTAGATAAGAAGATCGATACCACACTCATATCTGTTTGTTATTTACGAAGCTGCCACCCGGAACTTGTTTGCTTAGTTTAGGATAGAGACTAAAAAGAGGAAATGTGAAACAGGAACAGCTAGCCTGTCTGTCCAAAGGTAATAAAATCTGTCTACCAGCACATCTACCAGCCCTGTGGCTCAGGAGGTAGAGCGGGTCGTCCACTGCACCTCAAAGTGTCAAATTTGTAAATAAATGGATTCGTTTTTGTTTTTGATGAGCCGTTACCATCACTGTATGTATGGGTGTGAATGGGTGAATGTAGCTTTGAGTGGTCAGAAGACTAGAAATGTGCTATACAAGTACAGTCCATTTACCTTTTCTGTCTGAGGCTCATTAATTAACACATTATATCTTGTTTGTTTAATCTGTCCAAAAACAGAGAAAACAAATGTGGTTTTCAAGGGGTGTAGTTGTGAAATTTAAACTCCTCCTCAGATCATTAAAGCCCCAAATTTCCAGAGATGAATTGTCCTCCGTGTCCTCAGTGGTACTGTAGCTACAGCCGCTGCCTCTATCCCTGACCTCTGCTGACCTCTCAGCCCACCACCTTTATTCAATCCTCCTACCTTAACTACAGCATCCGCTTAACCTCATCACAGTGTCACACACACCCCACACTCACACTCACACATCTGTTCACTCCTCGGTCCCAGCTGTGGACAGACCACCTGTAATAATCCAAAAGAACACCTTCCTGTTCCTTCTTTTCTCCTCTCTGCTCCTTCCCTCCTCTGTCCATTTTTCTCCCCCTCTGACTCTCTCTACTCATCCATACTGACCCATTTCCTCTGCTCGTCATCCCCAGGCCCAGCTGAGCCCCTCATCCCACATACTGTACTCATCCTCCCCCACACCTGTCCCCCAGACACCTACGTGTGTGTGTGTGTGTGTGTGTGTGTGTGTGTGTGTGTGTGTGTGTGTGTGTGTGTGTGTGTGTGTGTGTGTGTGTGTGTGTGTGTGTGCGTGCGTGCGTGTGTGTCTGTCTGGAGGATGATGTTGGGGGAGATCTTAAAACATTATCCATCCAATGCGCATACACACACACACACACACACAGACACAGACACACTCAGACAGCTTATACTCAACCAAGTTTACATACCCTATATTTCTTGTATCTAGTCATAAAGGTGATATGAATGCTACTTACATATTCTGTTTTTTTGCTCAAATTTTCCCCCACGAGCTCAAAAGTTGATGTTTTGTCTCCTCCAAGAAACCATTCATAGCAAGCAATTATAGCAAATTAAGTTGTCTTGTAGCAAGCACAGCTCAGAATATGCTTCAAGTAATGAAAGAGAAAACAAAAATGAAAAGAAAATGCAGATTTTCTGCATTGCTGAACAATAAATGTTCAAACTTCGGTCATGCTAACGTCATGGGACGACTTGGGTCCAAAATGAAATATCTCACCAACTATGTGGTGGATTACAGTAAAAGTTGAGATATCCATGGTGCCACCATTGTGTCCAAGTACAGCCTCACAGATCCACTAGCACGGATGTAGACTTTTGTTTAAAAATGCAAAATAAACACCAATAGATTTTCAGACTTTTCTCAATCAATCCTTCCTTTTTAACCTGCTTATAAACAATAACATTTTATAAATATATGGACCTTGACACTTTCTTACTTCATTTGCACTGCCTTTCTCTTTGTATGTGTACGTGTTTTTCAGGAGACACAGTGGTCTATAAAGACGGTGTGTATTGGATCAGGGGCCGCAGCAGTGTTGACATCCTCAAGAGCGGTGGCTACAAGATTAGTGCACTCGAGGTGGAGCGTCACCTACTGGCTCATCCAGACATCATGGGTAAGAGTGCCGATTTGTCTGTAGAAGGACATGGAGGCTTTTGTCATCGTTTTGGCTCTGTTCTGTGACACATTGGATGTGAAATGAAATCACTATCAGGTTAAAGTGTCAAGGAATTTCAGGGCATTCACATCAATATTAGGTCAACACGATTGCCTTTTTTATGCAGCATATAATGAATGCAACCATCCCACAAAACAATACAGTAGGATGGTGATGCTCTTTATTGCCCCCTAAAATTAATAGACTAAATAGATAGATAAAAAGGACTATAGTTCCAACACTTTTCGTCTGATCTGCACATTACCACCCTCTAATTAAAGACACCAGTCATTGTTCCATTTTAAAACCAATGTGCCGAAGTGCAGAGCCAATGCAACCAAATAAACAGCTCAGTTTGACAGTTTGAGCCCTGCACTGCAAGTTGAAGGAAACCAAGCAGTTGAAACTTAACAACAACATGTCTGCTTTGTGTGATTTTACCATTACAGATGTGGCTGTGATAGGGGTCCCAGATGCCACCTGGGGTCAGAAAGTCACTGCAGTGGTGCAGCTGAAGCAAGGGAAGAGTATGGACCTGGCTGAGTTGAAGACCTGGGCAAGGTACTGTAACTTCCAACTAGATAATCTCTTTATTTGAGTGTTATTGTTTTCAAAATGATGCTGAATTCATGCCACAGTTTGATAATAGATTATTAACTGACTTTTTTATAGGCATGTTATAATTTTTTTTTCTCTCTGGACGGTAGGCTACCGTTGAGTAGTTGTTGATTTTTGTGCACATAGCCACTAAAGCTGGGAAGATGCTTACAAACACAAGGGTATAAACCAGCAACCTTCAGTCAAAAGTTGTGTTCAGGTAGACAACAGCGTTGCTACTGCTTGCTCATGGTGGGAATTGGTGGATCTCTGTAAATAATATCATAAAGAGTATGGTCTAGACCTGCTTTATCATGTCTGGGAAAAAAGATGCAGGGTTGCCCAGCGAAAAAAGTTTGGCCTGGCTTTTGCTTTAACGCGATGCAGTTTCATCCAGCAATGCACTACATTCGCTAGTAAAGCTAGTTTGACTTTGCAATGTGAACATCGTAATTGAACTGTTTACTTTGCATTTGTGAAGACGGTTTAAAGGATGGTCACTGTGAAAAGTTTTCAGGGTTGTACAATTATTTCTCATAGTATTATGTCACCAGCAGCAGGTGAAATAATTTACAACCAATCCACCATCCTGAATTCACAAAACACAGAAAATAAGTGCTGACCCGCTCTTGGTTAAATGTTATTGCACTGATTCAAGAAGAAGCTCTTTAAATTATTTGTGGTAAACAAATGAAGGCTCCTAATGCAGACTCTGCAGTTTAGCACACATATCCCCAGTGATCGGCCCTGAAGTCCTCAGATCAATACAAAGGGATGTGAGGGAAAGAGAGGCCAGAGATGGACTAATGAGGGGAGCTGAAGGAAAGACGAGAGATGAAAAAGAGGAAGATGTGGAGGAAGCAAACAAATGATTGTTACGGAGGGCTTTGTCTTCTGTTTTTTTTCCTTCCCTTTCTAAATGTCAGTAGAGTTTATTTTGTCTAACGCAGACAGTTTGTTGTGACATGCAGCCCTTTGCTTTGGAGTGACTGAAGGCACAAACACTCCTCTCCTTTTTTATTTCTCCTCTTTTACTCACCCTCTACATAGAATTTTGTCCAACTCATTTGTCCACCTTTACTTCACTTTCCCACCATCTGTTTTTTGTCTTTTAAGCTATCTTTCTACTACCCACCACTATCATTTATTCACATCTCTGAATTCTATATGAGTGCATATTGTGAGGATGTTTGTGTGAGTGTGTGAGTGTGTCAGAGCTGTGGGCTCCATATGGTGCGGGGGTGTTAGATCCTACTGCTGTGGGCTGCTGGTCCAGCATGGTGGATTACTACTGCTGCCTGTGACCCAGGTTAACACACACACACACACACACACACCTCTTACACACACAGTGTTTGCAGCCAGGGGTGCTGCCAGCAGACAGGCAGTGCCAGCGCACAGCCCACTGCTGAGGCCAGGGTGCAGGGGGAGAGAGAGGGAGATAAAATGAGACATAAACAAGTAGATGGATGCTCACTCTTCAGTGCCCTGGCTTCAGCTGTCAGTCTGAATCTTTATCACACCCTCTGTGCCCCACACTGCCTTGAACACACACCCCTTATGCACACACACAATCACACTGCCCTGGAGAAATTGGTGACACAAGCAAGCCCCATTACAGAGACAGTGTATGTATGCACATATACTCACTCACACTTTACTCACTGAGTCAGAGAGATGGAGAGACGGAGACATCTGCTGAAAGGAGTGTTTGATGGCAGCAGTATGAGTCATTATGCTCACTCGCACCACACAGGAACACACACACACACTCAGGCTCAAACAAACAAACAAACTAGGTTAGAAGATAATAGAAAAGCTCCAGGCTTCAAGACTTCACGTAACAACCATGCACTCAAAACGGAAAAAATAAAACACTTTTAATTATCCCAGCCTTCTGTTTTTCCTTTTATTATTTGTTTTTTTTTATTTCATCTCACAGTGATTATATTGTTTTGTACGAAGGGAATTGTCTGTGTCTGGAAGGCGAATTGTGGATATTAGGGAGGAGAGCTGCAGAGTGTATGAAGGACATTTCTTTCCTTATCTCGACTACTCTGCCACAGGGCTAGCCTTTGTTTTGCAATTGTTTTCTGCTTTTGTTTTCTTTTTTGTTGCTGCATATGTGTGTGTGCATACTCTCATCCATGTGTGCACATTGATCAGTGTGTGTCCTTGCACATGCCTGTCTGAGTTGAGTCTGTGTTTATCTCCCTCTCTGCAAAAAACAGTCTTCAGTGTTTTAACATCAGTGTTTATTGCAGGGAGCACATGCCGCCCTACACCATCCCCACGGGCCTGGAGCTGGTGGAGGAGATGCCAAGGAATCAGATGGGCAAGGTCAACAAGAAGGACCTCCTGCGACAGTTCTCCCGATGACTTGGAACGCTTCGATATGTATGACAACATACACGTTCCTGGTTAAATAACTGCAGGTGCACGTCACTTTCCGGGCTGTCCCCATCTGGTCCTTAGATCAGATTAGATCCTTTCATCACAGACAAGTATACAGAGGAAATACAAAGTAATGGATAAACACCTCATGGAAAATGACTTAACCTCTGAGGTAACTTCATTACAACTACAAAGACTGCTACAAAGGTAATTCTATTACACTGAATGCCAATTATGTCAAGCTCTGTTCATCAGTTACTGTGTCAAGGAAGTCTGGAAATCATCTTTTTAATATTTACTTTTTTGAGGCAATATTACGTATGAATTGTAAGCAGGTTTAGAGTATGTAGGATGTTCACATTCGAAACATGACAGATGAGGTAAGAATCAGTATGCAGACTAAAAGCACTTGATTTTTGAGTGTGGTCTTAATGGAGACTTTATTGCCCCACAATGTACGGTACAAAGGAAATGAATGAGCTGCCCACAGCTGCAAACAAAATATAAATAAATGGCAAATGGCAGTAAGACGGCTCCTGGAAAAAAGTATAACATCTTTGGAAAAATAATTTAGCTCTCTTTGTGAAGTTCATTTGATTGTGGCACTTTTGGTGCAGTCTGTACTATAAAGATTAATATATAGTGCATACTTCATATAATTAGTATGTAGTATATAATTGGGGCAAAAATGTGATATAGTTACTTCAAAGTCAATATCCTTTATATAGTGTCTGCACCCAGCTGAACTGTGGCATGGACTGTTCAATCTGTCTTAATAAAATGGGAACAGCTAGTTTTGTCTCTTTGGCTCCTGATGAATAATTGCACATACCATTAACAGGATGCTCAACTGTTCCAATAATACTTAAACACAGCGGTACCCACTGGGAAAGAGTGTTTTCATTGTTCCTATTGGTATATTCTGATGTTTTAGAGAATAAAGAGTGACAATTTTGGTGATAGGGTTGTGTGACTTAAATCAAGAATCATGGTTAATTACACCCACACCAAACAAAATAGAAGACAATTTGGTGGTAGAACAGGAGACATGATGAACTTTTAAATGTGATCAGTGAGAAAACAGTGTTAAGATTAGGTTCTTAGCAATACACACACACACAGAAGCACTTGAAATAACAGATAATGTTTATTTGAAAATTAAAAACTTATAAAAAATTTAAATTTGAAGTGTTTGGAGTTATTTTTTGTATATTACAGTGTTTTTTCGTGTGTGTGTGTGTGTGTGTGTCTGTGCAGCTGTGGTTACACAGGTGTGATGAGAGCCTGAAGGCGGATTCTCTAGCAAGGCACAACACCACAGCTGGATGCCCCACACTTCATCTGACTAACCCTCTCGCTCCGCTCGCTCTTCTCACCTCTCATCCTTTCTCATCTCCATTTCTCCAATACTGCTGCCTCTTCTGTCTTCATCACAAGTCAAAACAGATTGCAGTAGCACCGAGACCAACTTGACTGTGAGACTTCTTTTGAATGAGCCCTGGCGTGCTGCCAGAATAGACAGGGAGTGCATGAAAAGATGAAAGAAAAGCCACAGAGAGGAGGAAAAAATATAAAGCAGGACTGTTGGAGAGATTGGAGCCTTAACAAGAGCTGGCTAGAGAGAGTTGATAGAGAGGGGGCTGACAGAAATGAGGATGTATAAAAAAGTCAGTGTGGGGTTTTAAATGGGTGATATGCAAAGGATTTGGAGATGAAGAAGAAGGGGAAAGAGAGAAGGAGGCAGTAAAATACAATTGAGATAAACAGTCGTGATGAACAGCCAGAGAAGTGAAGATGGAAAGAGACACAAGTGCAACCCCCAGCCGATACAACCTCCTGTCCACACACACACACACACACACACACACAATCGTCCGCCCACAGTCACCAGAGACCTGATTAAGAGAGCAGAGCTATCGATCTGTGGGCTGGCAGGCCAGGATGGATGAGCAGGCAGGGCTGCAGGAGCACCAGAGGACAGCTTCGGTGCCCCCAAATCCCCCCGCTGCCCCACCCCAACCACCCACGCCAGAGCTGAGAGTCGGCCAGGGCCACAGACAGGAAGGCAGGGGCTGCCACGCTGAAGCTGCAGCAGGCAACAGAGGGTCAAAATCAAAACTGAAGAGCATAGAGCTGGTGTGCAGTAATAGATACACTCTACTGTAGGTGTGTGTGTTTAAGGGGGCACTCAGGACGGCTTCCTGTGCCTCCCTGGTGCACATAAGGGGGAGGGAAAGCTGGTGGATATTCCCTGGACTCGAGCTTGATGAAGTACTCGTGCCCTTGAACTACATCCACCTCCCTCTCTCTCAAACACACACTCATTCAAACACTCCCTGCCTGTGTTTGCTGGAGCGTGGTGGGAAGAGGTTGTCTGCAGATGGCTGCTTATTGGGCCCCAGGGTCCTGGAGGGTGGGTTATGGGGGACACCGGTGAGGTTGTTTATGTGTTCGAGACACATGGAGAGTTTGGGTAGAATGGCAAAGGTTTAAAAGAAGCAGGTGATGTTAAAAAGAGATGACAGGAGAGTTCATATTGTCATGTTGTTTTGGTGTCTTCTTACTTTGTCACAGTTTCACTTTTAATGTTAGCCTGCCTGCAAGATGATATTTAATTTAGCTTCCTCTTCAGAAGATGGACACATTAGGTTATAACAGGAACCAGCTGGCAGCACAAGCTAACAAAGAATTGAAACAGTATTACATTTCAAACAGAGAATTTTTATTACATCGAGCACACTGATTGAATGCCAGTTCATTCAATCATTGATTCATTTTCTCTATCCACTTTTCAGAATTGTATCCCAGCATACACCTTGTTGAAGGCAGGCAGAATGCTTGACAGTTTGCTACTTTGCCACAGGGCTGACAGAGACCTCTGGGCAGTTAGTTATAAACAGAACAAAGGACACAAGGACAGGTATGAACCAATAAAAAAATATTGCATTCAAGCAAGTAAGTAGATATTTATCTATATAGACATTTTCTAAACAAAAAGCCACATAGTGCTTCAGAAAAGAATAAATTAAAGAACCACTTAACACCAGTGGTCTAAGCTACAATCAGGAGACAGTTGGCTTATCGTAGCATAAAGACTGGATACAGAGAAACAGGTAGCCTGGAGTTTTGATGTCAATGTGAGGTTGGCAATGAGCAGAGACTCTGAGAAGTTATGGTCCAGAAATAGTTTGCCTAACCCCCCATTAACAAGCACAAAGTAGCATGTTAAGTATAGTGACCTTTAGAGATGCTAGTAGGCAGATTTTGTTACTTTTGGACAGAGCCATACAAGCTATTCCCCGGTTCCCGGCTTTATAGTTACTGCTACTGAGAGTGGTTTCAGTGTTCTCTAATCTAACTCTATTCCCCAAAATGTTGAACCATTCTTAACTAACTGAATTATGTTTTCAAAGTTTTTTTTAAAGTAGACTGCATGGAATTATCTAATAGTAAAGTATTCCAAAGTTTTGGGGCACAGACAGTAAATGCACATACTGCAGTGCCTGATGTGTAATAACTAACATTTAATATTGAAACGTCACTATGCAGCTAATGCCGAGATCTCAGCACTGTAGTAATGTGCTCCCTGTGCTCTGAAAGTTTGCATTTGGACATACATTATGTTACTTTGAAACTCATCCTCTGTCACTCTGACTCCCCAGAAGTCTCAGTCAGCCTGTCATTCTGCTCTGAACATGAAAGCCATCCATCATGAATGATTCTGGAGGAGAAAGAAGTTCCTCCCTCTTCTCTCTGAATACTGAAGGTCAGCTCACCGAAGTAGTAAGCCGCAGAAACACAGCCTCTCAATTAATGGCAGAGCACTTCTACACTGTTGGTCTGTTGTACATCATAGACACAAACAGAAAATCAGGCTACAATTATACAGTCAAATATTCACATGTGCACACTTTTGACAGTCACAAAAGGCTTCGGGCCTGTAGCTACTTGATCAACATGACAGGCTTTATGGATGTAAGTGGGTAGAGAGAGGAGTGATGGGAGGATGACAGGCAAGGCTCTTCAGCCCCAGGGACACCCTGAGTATACAGTGCACACTCATACAAACACACATCAGTGAATCCAGAACCCCAGCAGGTCTGTGTGGGTGCGTAACCGATGCTTGTAGTGGCAGGTTGTTGTTTACATGGAGCTCATGTTTATTCTAAAGCTACTTACACCTCACTGGCTCAGCCTCGGGCTTCGTTCCTGTGAAACTCCTGCTGACTCGCTCTCTGTTTTCTCTTTGCCTTTTTCTCTGTTGACCTTTTTCTCTTTCTATCACTCTCTTTTTTCCTTTCTTTTCCTGTCCTTCATTACTATCTGTTAATTATGTTTGTCTCATTGTCTGTGATGTTCCACAACATGTTTTTTTAAATGAAGGTCAAGTGATTGTGAAAAGTCTAGGTATTCTGCATATTTACAAGTGAAAAGCATCTGCCATTAATAAAAAAACCCATGTTGGTCGACCACTTCTTATCAATACATGTCACATTCACCTATTCACACACATGCATACACACCGATGGCACAGCATCAGGAGCAGTTTGAAGTTCAGTATCTTGAGCTAGGACACTGCGACATGCAGAGGGAGGAGCTGGGGATCGAACTACCAACCCTCTGATTAGTAGATCTACCTCCAGAGCCACAGCTCCTCCTAATGCTATGTTATACAGTAAAACTTAATTTGGATAGTCCACATTTTAAAGTAGATAGTAACATTTCAAGTTTTTTTTAGTGCTGCCATTTGATTAAAAAAACCGAAATTAATCGCTAAGACTGAAGCTTGTAATAAAGGATATTAAAATGTAAAATCACAGTATTAATGTAAAATTGACACAATGGCAGTATATTTAAATTCAAATACAGTTCTCTTCTGTTTTACTCACAGTTAGTACATCGCAGATTCCATTCTTGATCAGTGAAGTGTGCTATGACGCCCAAGTAGTTGTCAGTGTATGCAGAAGTCCAACCGTCCCCTGTGACAGCAACTTCCTTTGCTCACTCAGGCATGTTTATCCTCCGTGCCCTATTGCCTTCATACAAAGTGTGTATTCTTGACACGATGGTTCCTCTCGAGGGTGGATTATAAGAAGGTTCTCCTGATGCAATTTGAATGATGTCTCTCAGTCTGTCTTCTTTTATTATGTTAATTGGGAGGTGGTTAGCCAAAGCATTAGCTACCTTCTAACTTATAGGTGCCCTTATTTTGTGCATGAGTACTACACTCTTGCAATGTCAATTGGGGGCCCTGTAGAGATAGATTCTGTTGGGTGTTTTCCTTTTGAGGTGATATGGGCAACTTTTTAATGTAAAACTTTCTGCCTAAAACTCCTCCTGTCCTTGTCCTTATCCTTATGCACATGGCTCACGTCATCAGAGGCCATAGGTCAGAATTAATAGGTCCATTTTCCTGGCTAAAGATGCATAAGATCTACTTTTGATCATTTAAGTCCCCTTTGTTGCTGAAACCTCTGTATTTTTACTTAAATAACATTTTGAATGCAGAACTTTTACGTATAATGCAGTATCTTGTGTTATTGCTATTTTACTTAAATAATTGCTTTTATTAGTTCTTCCGCCACTATATGTGTCTTTGCTGTTGAACACAGCAAAAAAAAAAAACTTTTTTGGGGAAAAAATACAGAATCAATAGTGAATTATCATGTTCTAGCTCTCATAACTCGGCCCGCTCAACAATGGAGAGAGACAAGGTCATGAGAGAATAAATAGCAGGCAGACTAGCTAATGATCTATCATTCTGGACAAGCGGCTGCACCCGAGAGCTGGCTGGCTGACAAGATCATTAATAAAAGCTGCTGGGAGAGTGATCGATCGGCTTGATGGATGATCAGAGCCACAAATACTATAAAACACCTGGATGTCAAGCCTCGTCTCTTTGAAGAGAGGGAGGGAGGGAGGGAGGGAGGGAGGGAGAGAGGGTTGGGAGACAGCCTTAAAAAAAAATCCAGACCCCAACAGGGAGTCGTCAGAGGGGATCAAACCCTGATGCCCAACCTCTGTTCTGTGCTGGAAAATGAATTCAGCGCTGATGTTATGCATGCCTCAGTGCATAGCTGTGCTGTATATCTCTGTGTTTGATGCAGTCAGTGTGTGTTGTAGTCCACAGAAGCTCAGTGTGAGAGCATCAGTGTGATTTGAGGTAGATCAGGGAGTCAGCA